TTTCGTCGTGCTTCTGGGCAACATCTTCAGTGCCATATTTAGCACAAAGTGAAATGATTTAAATTTCTTCATGCGTGATGTAATTGCGTCTCCTAGTTACTATCTTTACATGTGTATTGACCACTTTCTATTGACTTGAATTTTAAACTTTTTGGTCACCTGATTTACATTTTATTAATTGGTATATTTCATCTATATTAACGTGTTTGTTAATCTCATTTTCGCTTGAGTACCAGGCTTCTAGGAATTCTCTGGCACTTTTCGTGTTTCCTCTGTTTAAGATTTTGACATGATCCCAATCAAATTGATGACCATAATTATCTGTATGCATTGATACTAAAGAATTTATATCATGTCTTTTCACGGCTGATTTATGTTCTTGGATTCCGATTCGGGGGGGGGGGGGGACGCCCACTTTCGCCGATGTAATGTTTGTTCCAGTTCATACAACTTATTTTGTAGATGGTATTAATTTTATCCCCTTTTTCTCACCATATTGTGCAATGTTTTTATTTACCTATAAATCCTATTATTATTATTGTTTCCTTTAGTTCCTAGAGAGCTTCAGCCGCACGTCTCCATTACATTCGACTCTCCCTCAACGTTTTCACCTAGCTTCACATCTGCATACATGCTTTCATCTTCTCTTCACATTACCTCCTCAGTGTCACTCTTGCACTGACGAACAACTAACTCATCGCTTATCATTCCTGTTCGACTCGAGCGATGGCCTGTCGTGTGATGTCACTCACTTGGTGGTTCGTTTTGTCAGATTATGGTCCCCAATCCACCTCCATTTCTTCCTGCATATTTTTTGTACAGTTGGTTCCTGCTGCGTTGGTTCCTTCATTGACAGAGATCCCTCCCTGTTGCTGATCTTTTCTGGCTGGCCATCTGATCCAGAGCGAAGTATTTAGCGAAGACAGCTGTTGATGAAGATCTGTAGTTTGTACGAAGTGCCTTTTGTGACGCCGCAAGTCTCTGATCAGTGTAGAAGCATTGACTTTACATTGGAGTTGAAAATCCGGATCTTATTTTCATTTTCATACTGAGTAGTGCTATTGATCTCCACACAGGCTTGAGAGAGATGAAAGCTTGTCTTGCTTTCCCGATCCTCGCTTTCATATCCTCATCAGTTCCGTCCGCCTGTATTTGAAACGATGCTTACCAGGTCGGTAGGTAAAGAAGATTACTTCTTTCAGATTTCTCCCCGTTAAAAAGTTTTAATAAGCCCAGACAGTTTGTGTATAAGCAGGGCAGAAGTACCTTAGATGATGGCACTGTATTACATCATAACATTGTCTAATTCTAAGACAAAGGGGGCAAATATGTACGTTGTACCTTCCTTGACTACACATCTGATTTTGACTCAGTACCTAGGTGACTTTTGTTAAATAATCTTTCCCCTATACAAACCGAGTCCTGGGCTGTTAAGTGGTTAAATTCTTACTTCTCAAAAAGAATGCAGTATACTGTATACAACGGTGGTGAATCTTCTTCTACCTTGCTTACTGACGCTGATGTTCCTCAAAGTGCTGTTTATTTCTTTTCTCTTTTCTTACATGACTTACCTCCTTCTAATGAAATCAATTTTGTCAAATGCGCTGATGACCTGACCATCTTGCTTTCCATCAAGTCCTAATCAGACTGTTGAAAACTTAATATCTTTTTGTTGGACATCATTCAGTGGTCTAAGCTAAATGGTATTATGTTAAATCCCTCAAAATGCCAGACCAGTGACTTCTCCTTTAGACATAAACGTGATTTACAACGACTAGTTAGTACACACGATGCTTGTAGCATGGAAGGGACTGAAACTAGGTCTGACACAAAATATCTTGGCATAGTTCTGTCCTCTGGCCTTACTTGGTCATCCCATATTTTATCGATCTCAAAGAGAATGTTCCGTCTGAGTTACTACATTAAGAAGCTAAAACTATCTGGAATCACTCAACCTCTGCTTTTACAATTTGTTAACTTCTGTATCTCACCTATTGTACTTTACTGCTCCCTTGCCCTTAGTCTTTCCTGGTCTACTGTAAAAGGACTATGTCATTTTGAGAAGGGTCTTAAAGGTAATCAGTAGGGCAAGTAATGTACAGCTTAGTCAATCAGCTTGTTACTACATTAGTTGAAAGACATCTAAACTCATGAGAGCAATGGTCTAAATCTTTATTTTCTGACCCTCAACACCCCTCCCAATTCTCAACTCTTCCCTTGCTGTATCTCATCTGATAGAACTAGAAGTCAGTACAAAAGATTATATGCTCGTATTACCAAGTATAGGAACTCGATGATACCATATTTGGCCAGCCCGTGTTCTGTGCGGTAGAAACAGTGTAGACCGTGAAACTTATGTATCACACCGTTGTTAGCTAAATAATTGGCCATTTAATTATCTCCTATTTGTAACCCATGGTGACACTAACTCAATTAAACTGATAATCTTAGCTACTAACATTATTATCATTGTTATCTTGCAATTTTTGTATGTTTATGATTTCACAATCACTAATAATGACAAATAAGAACTGTCATTAACAATCCCGTAATATTATCTTTATAATTGTCTTATTATTAATGTTTTTCGGAAAAATAAGATGCAATATTGAACCAAATGCTGAAAATTCCGCACTGTAACATTAGTACTGTTTTGGAATAAGGCAAACTATTATTATTATTATAACATCTCTTCCGAAGTTTCATACATTCTATGACCAACTGTGTGCGGCGTTACATGCTTAATCGCTTGATACCAAACATTTTTAGCATAATTCATGTTATTACTATTATTATTATTAAGTAATCACACGTTTTGCTTAGAAGTTCCTTACCTACCATAGTTTCTTAAAAACTGTATGTATACACACATATGCCTGTGTGCAGCTTGATAATAAATTCGTTGGAATGGGTGTCTTCATTGAATATTGTGTTCCCAGTGTTACAACGGGAATCTAACTGACTACACTGTATCTCCTGTGCTTCTATGTGCCACTCTCCATTGAACTTTATTTATTATGAAGTAAATTTTTGGGTGGGGATATAATCTACCGCAGTTCACACTTGCCGCGCATTCTTTACAAAATGCTTGCATAGGTAGGATGAAGGCGATCAATTATGGCTTGATTATCTTCAGGTAGGTAAATTTGTGTTACGGGCCAAGAGGAATGCTGTAAGTATAATAGAAGTTACGTTTGGTTGTTTCAAGGGTGTTTGGTCAACTTTTTTATGTAGTTAGAATATCTATTTTGAAGTTGGCTATACCATACGCGAAAACACCTCGAGTACACGAGACAAACCTTTACTACACCGAATTCACTGTGGATTCCTTTAGCACACACACACACAAACAAGTAGCAAGATTCGAATTTTAAACGCTAAAGTCAAACAAGTCTGTGCTTCTACATGGTTCAGAGAATTGGTGGGCTCATTATCTAAATTACTTCCAAAAGGCCACTGCAGACTTTCATCAGTAGTTAACACCTTCGTTTGTAAGGCGCTTAAGATCAGACTACCAGAAAGAAAATGCAACAATGAAGTCTGGGAACGAATCAACCAATAAAGAACCTATCGTTTAATAAATATGCCGAAGCAAAAATGGAGATGGAATAGTTACACGTCGGGGAGACCGTTGGATGACGTTAAGGCGAAAATCGTACTTGGGTCCTAGAGGGACATTGAGGAGGTCGTGTGGAGAAGTGAAAGCATATTAACAATTGTGGGACCAGGCAAAGAGAACTGCAAATAACAGAAAAAGATGGGGGTGTCCAGTTGAATTCTTATGCTCAACTCTCAATCCAAGAGAATAGTAACAAATAAGCAAAAAAGCTTTGGAATATTTGGAATACTGATGATACTTCACACATTTTAGATGATGTAACCATTGAAATACGAAGGTTATCTATAGAATATCTACTGCTTTTCCCATCCAGTAGACGACTTTTTGATGCAAATTAATGTGAAAGTGAACAGTGGTTAATTGAGGTTACTAAGAGCCAAGAGACAATTGCTTATGATTTACAGAGTTAAATGCAGATGTGCAGTAGTCTCTCTTACGCATTATACGTGGGGAAATGTTTTTCCGAATTTGTACCATACACCTATTTTTTCTATCATTCCCTTGGCTTCCGAGTAGGACATAGGACTTCAAAAACACATCTCCACTTTCCCCTGTCTTCTCCTGTTCAGCTGGCTGTGCCCACGATTACTGTACATAATCTCTCATCTTCTCTCTCCCAAAACACTATATTTTCAAATCACCTTGGCACTGACCACCCACTCGTCGATTCCCAATCGGATTCCACTCGAGCAATGGCCTTCATTGCATTGAGCGTGATGTCATTCGACCTGTGGCCTCCACAGTGACTTGTATGCCTCATCTATCTCCATTTTCCCCTTAATATTTGTTGAGCGATTAATCGGCTCTCCCTTGAATGGTTTGTTCATCTCTAGAGTTTCTTCTTGTCAATTCTTTCTCACTGGCCAGCCTGCCATTCGACTGGTAGGCCATTTGATCTTGAGTATGGAGCCAGCCAGCCAAGTAGCGAAGTGGGCAGCTGTTGATAAGAGTCTGTACTAGTCTGCTGCAAATGCTTTATGTGACTGACAGACTAGCGTGCAGCGCAAGTTTCTTACCTGCATAAAAGAAGTGACTGACTGACTGACTTGACATTAATGTTGAATAGAATCCGAATCTTGTTGTTTATGTTGGCTGGCTGGCCGGCAGGCTGGTTGGGTGAGTGAGTGAGTCATTCAGAATATTTGCAAACTGGTTTCAGCTTCATAAAGACATTGCGATCTTGCCTTTCCGACACTATCTGACTGGCTGGCTGTGTGGCTTTGACATCTTCGTCCGTGCTGTCCGACTGCCTGCCTGCCTGTGGTTGACACCGTGCTTCCTGGCCAGATAAGTGAAGAAAGTGTCATGCACTTAGGTTTCTTTTAATCTGTTCACGAAACAAACTTCACAAATAATGCAATATCTTTTTACAGCTATCAACCATTCTGAATTTATATCGCATAATATGAAAAAGAATATGCAAGAGCAGAGTAAAACGAGGTGGGAATAAGTAACAAATTTAATTATTTTTTATTTCACAGAAATCGATATGTGTGTGTGTGTCATCATACTGACTATGGGAAACAGAATCCAGGTCCAGTTATCGCTTGAGCACTCCAACCACGTCTGTAAAATAAAAGAAAGGTTTTACATTCAAAAGTTTTGTTCAATAAAGTTTGATAAGCTAAGCAAGCGGGAAAAAAGTCGTCCCTAGTGATTCATGCTTCTAGATAAAAAAACACTTATGGAAGTAATAGAGAAGATCTGTGGCTCGGATAGGTGATGATATTGAATGAGTTATGCCCTCTGTTAGAGCTGGTTGGTGCAGTTGAGATTTTTTTGCCGTCCCCTGATTCTAGACTACATCGTTTCATCGCAGGTTTTAGTATAAGATGGACTTATAAGAATTCCCCATGAATACTGTGCAATTGTATCTCCTGGCGACCACCATGGTGACTGATTGTTTGTTAATTTACGTTTCTTTTGATCATTTTTATTCTTGACTTGGAATTGAATATGGTATGTATATATAGCAAACCAACCCATACAGATCAAATACTCAACTATAATAGTAATAACCCAACTTAATTAACCACAAAAGAAACTGTGTGCAGACATTGTTCAAAAGAGTTCAAACACAGCACTGTAACACTACCCCGTGTTGAAGAGAATGGAGGAAAAATACCTACTAACTATCTTGAAAAAGAAAGAAATATTCCCTTCACATTTTCATCAAAAGGTGTTTAAACTCGAGTCATAACAATACCGACAACAAGCCATCATTAAAGACTACAAGAAAATTTATCCTAACATATATAGGGAAAAATATCTCTGAAATAACAGCTAGAATATTGAGACCGTTTGAAATAGATATAGCACACAAGCCAGCCAACCAGTCCAGTCAGCGCAATCACTTCATTCGATATTGTGCAAACCAGAAGACCCATCCAACAGAAAAAGAAGATAAAACTAATACCATTTACAAAACAAACTGTATGCATGAACTGCAATAAACACCACATCGGTCATCAAAGTGGTCATCCCCTTCTAATCCGACCGAATCGAAGAACACAAATTGGCTGTAAAATGGCATGATATACATTCCTGTTTCATATTAATGCATGTAGATAATTATGGACACCAGTTAGATGATTGGGATAATGTAGAATTTTTAAATAGAGGAAACACCAAAAGTGTAGTTAGGGAATTCCTAGAAGCCTGGTTGGTATTCAAGTGAATCAGTCAGCCAGCGATTAACACACACACACACACTAATTACTACGGACCATATTTACCAACTAATGAAAAGTAAATCATCTCACTTGATAAGAGAGTTCGAATTTCAAGTGAATAATAAAAATGACCAATAGAGACATAAATAAACAAACAACAAGCCACGGTAGTGGTTGTCAGTAGGGAGATACAATTAATTATATCATCATTAATGGGGAATTCAAGTGAGTCGATTTTATACCAGAACTTGTGGTAAAGCGATGCTGTCTCGGGTGGGGGACAACGAAAGCTTCACAATTGCACCAACCAACTCTGACAGAGAACACAACTCATTCAATATTATGAAAGTGCTCAAAAAACTGCAATGTTGTTTGCTGCTCGAGGTTAATGGAAAGTTTTGTACTTCATTCTTCTATGATATTGTAAGATAGTGTAGACAAAGGCATAGGTTTTTGAATCTTCTCGTGTTCTGTAGTCCCTGAATTCACTAATATGTGATCATTAAGGTTGCCTTTAAGTGAGAAAAATACGAGTCATTTCATGAAACCGGCTAATTAATATCATTTAAAACAAGCAACAAAAGGTGAGTACTAAAGCAGGATTTAATGAATTCGAACAAAGCAAGAACTACAGTTTAAGATATCCTTCTCATGTTAACTCCAACTGTATATACAAATTTACATGTATCTACAGGAGCAGTTAAATTGGAAGAACAGAAAGAAGGGCATATCTACGATTTTCTGAACATATACCAGAAAGCTTATGTCTAAAGGGAACAAATGCTTTAAACAATGCCGTTGCCAGGCATCTCCTTGACACGGGTCATGAGGTGGACGTCGAAAAGTCGTTCAAAATTATCAATAAGCAAAAGAGCTCAATTCTCCTTAAGTTTGCTGAAGTCATTTACATCAAGCGCCTGAAACCTGATTTGTGTGTTCAGAAAGAAGCCGTTATCAGTCTTTCTTTGCCCTGGTAACTTGATATTTTTCAGCCGAATGCGAAATGCTGAAAAGTTTTCATTGTGTATGATTATTATTGTTCGGAATAGTGTTCAATACTGCATATGTATATATTATTAGTGTATGCGTATATTGATCGATTGATTTTTGTTTAAAATGAACTCTGTGCAAGTATGTTTAAATTGATTTGTAGATACATTTAATAATGTCTTGGGCCTGTAAGCAGCTGATGAGAAGGCAACGAAATAAAAGATGGTACCATTTTATTCTGCTAAAACTGTAGTTCTTGCTTTGTTCAAATTCATTAAGGGAAATAAATGTATGAAATTTAATGAATTCACCGAATTCCGGTAGAACCACTCCTCAACTGGATACTCTGCATACGGAGATATACATACTATTGGAAACACACTGAGAGAGATAAGACTGATAAGTAAATAAACTACATCGAATTAGTCAGGCAAAACGACACGTGCTCAGATCAGGTCATGTTCAAATAGATAAGCGGAAGAGAGTATGAGAGATTCAAATTAAGATAAAATGCATTGCGCTTCAATTGCATCACTTAGACAAACAGTACAACTGAACATGAAATAAAAGCTCTGAAGGATATTTTATCTAATAATGGATATCCTGAGAAGTTCATTAATAAATATTCTAAAGAAATGACCCTCTACACAACTATCGAAACAGTTCTGAAGAAATCTAGCTATATCAATTTATCATTCATAGGAGATGATGTACAAGAGGTAGCCAAAGGAAGACTCGATAAAGTCATCAAGAGAACTTATTATTGCTGCAAAACTCGTCTTCCTTAACACCACCACCAAGCGGGTGATTCAACAATCTGGGAAAGACCAGTCACCAGTCCTCGACACTTCAAACTGCGTGTATCAGTTTGAGTGTGTTTGTGGAAGCAAATACATAGGTCATAGGTACGGAAAGGCGACTGTCTACTCGCATGATGGAGCATTTGCCAAGGTGGTTGCAAACAGCTGGAGTCAAAGTGCCGAAAAAATTCAATAACAAGGCATCTTGTGGACTATGGACATGATATCGACGCGGTCAAGTCATTCACGACTGTCAGCAGACAAGAAGATGTTTGCAATTGCAGAGGCTTGTGCAATTCGAGTTTATATACCAGGTCTCTGTGTATAAAAGGAGATGGTTGTGACTCTGAATCTACCATGGTAATACGTTTTACTTATTATTCTACCTATTATTATTATTCTAGATTCATTTAAAACTATCCTTTATCAGTAGGATTATCTTAACTCACTTCAACACTATTATTATGATTATTATTTTTGCTATTACAACTACTACTATTGATATTACTCTGTTTGCGATTCTTGTTATATTCTCTAATGTCTTATTGTTTATCTAAGTGATGTAATTGAAGCGTAATGCAATTTATCTTAGTTTTGATCTCCCATACTCTTTCTCCCTTTATCTAATTGAACTTGACCTGGAAAAACATTCGCACCTGTCTCTCTGAATGACTAATTCAGTGTAGTTTATTTGCTCGCTTATCAGTCTTATATTTCCCAATGTAATTTGAAAAGTATATATATCCGTGTATGTAGAGTATTCAGCTGAGGAGGAGTTCTACCGGAATTTGATGAATTCATTAAATCCTGCTTTATCAACACCTTTTGTTGCTTGTTTTAAATTCGTATCGGAAAATAAATGTTTCCAATTGGTTTCATATTGAATAATGCTGTCAGAGGTGTGGTGAAAAGTGCTACTGAACACCATTTTGGAATGATTCTTACAAACCTACATATATACATACATCATTGTGATAGTGAACAACGCGGCTGATCTATAGAGGAGTGATGCGCTTCGAAATCGCTTGAGTAAGTCGATAAGCTGCGAATATTTTTCCTTCAAGTGAAGAAACCAATCGGCAGACAGATGAATGATGTACACTGATGAAATACCTCGTATGGAAATCAAGAAGAATAAATGCAGATGGTTGCATATTTTTCGTGGTTTCGATATTACAGCCTATGAGCAGTTCTCTTCAGTTTTCACATAACCAAAAATGCTTCATCATTGAACTTGTCCTTAATAAGTCTTTTAGCTTTACTTTAACAGATTATTACTGGTTAATAACCAGTGTCATGCGCCTAGTTATTGTCATGTCAGATGTTTGAAGGCAATCGAAAAGTAGCTTTTCCGACCCTTGGTCCCATGCTCATTATTACTTGTCATACAAGGGTGTATTTGAAACCTTCAAGGAACTCATGCTCCTTCTGAGATTCAAATCCGGATCACCCATTGTTGCAGTCAGAGATGTTACCGCTGAGTTAAACAGGTTCATGATTTGCTTCCTATAGGACTATAATGGATACTCTGATTGGTTACTGGATAGTAACTAGTGTCATACGTCCAGCCCTTGGATGTAATGCTCACATTATGTAACACCACTTACTTTCGACTTTATGATAAAACCTACAAATCTTGATCATTCTCACCAGTCGCTTGTATCGACCACTTACCTTAACATTCGACAACGAAGTTCATCAAGTTCTTGTGCAAATACTTCAGTTTCCGGAGGTTCTTGAGACCAAAGTCGTTCAGCTACGGTTGCAGCTAGTGGCCTGTAATGCAAGGTACATATAAAGCATAAAAAATATGTTATCCAGTCTTGGTTTACAAGGATTTGACTTATTACAAGTTTCATCATGAGCTGGTATCAGTTAGAGAGTCATTGGAAAGCCAGTAAGGAGTACTTGACAGTCTCTTCGTCCTATTTCGGGACTCTTCAGTAACAGGCAACCACCAGCCAGTGTCGTAGGTGAGTAACTGTTATCTTACCCGACCTGGTGGACTGAAAAAACATCTGTTTAATAGTTACTTGCCTTGGAGTGTAAATTTCAAGCGATTATAAAACCACAAACATCCTGCATGCGTAACTTTCAAGATGTATGTTTCTAATTGAAATAAATCACTAACTAAACACATCTTTTGAAGAATCGCATGAAAAACAGTAAACGAAGTAGAGTAAACCTTAGCCTTGCTGTGCCCACGACCGCCAATAATCCCCCATCTACTCCTCCTCAACACACCATCTCCCACATGTCACCCTCACACTCACCACCCACTCGTACTCGATTCCCATTCACCCTCCACTCAAAGTAATCGCCTGCATTTCGCGCGATGTCATTCGACCAACGACCTTATCAGTGGCGCATTTGGCCGATCAGCCCATCTCCATTTTCTCCTACATATTTTTTGAGCAATCAGTCGGCTCTTCTTTGGTTGATTTGTTCATCGCCAGACTCTCTACTTGCTAATTCTTTCTCACTGACCAGCTGGAAAGCAGACCTGACATTTGATCTTGGGTATGGAGACAGCCAGGGAGCGAAATGACTAACTGTTGATGGGAGTTTGCACTAGCCTGTTGCAAATAACATCATGGTTGATAATGGTCAGTCAATCTTGTCTTATTCCTATATTCACTTCGAACGCCTCGCTGAGGTTTCCGTTCTTATATATAGCTGTTATATAGCTGTCAAATGAGGTTGACAAAGACTTGAGGTACCCCGTAGTATTGAAGTGGTTTCCAAATTACTCCTTGGTCAACGCTGTCTGTCAAAGGCCTTTTCTAAGTTGATGAAAGAAGTTGAGCCATTCTATGCATTGTTCTCTGATGACGATGCGTAGAGTTGCAATTTAATCAGCACACGATTTGCGCTTCCTGAATCCAGCTTGTTCCGGCCAGTTGATGGAGGATAACGCGACTTAGTACTTTACTTGGCGTGGACAAAAGCATCATTCTACGCCTGTCAATTCTTGCAGAGTGAGGCTCAAGTTTCCCTCCTTTGGTAGCTTGGCAAGTTAGCCAGAGTTTCTTCCAGTCAGTAGGCACTTTGCCTTCCTTCCTTCTAAACCTTTTCCAATAATGGGACCAACACATCTGCCACAGTCTCTGAGTCCGTTTCCAGTGCTTTACAATGGGGGGCGGGAGAGAATTCCATCTGACCCTACTGCCTTCCCGGCTAGCTTTCAGTCACTTGATCGCATTCAGGATTTCTGCTTTTGTCGGAGGATAAGTGTCCACTGGCAGGCAGTTCTGTGAATGCTGTTGATGATGGCGCTGGTATTTCTGGGGGAGTTGCAGGCGATGGTCGATTTAAGAGTCCTATAAAGTGATAATCCCATTGTTTTATTTGTTCCTTCTCCTTGGCAATCAGGTTCCGTTGAACATCTTTTATTGGACAAGACTGCCTACTATCACTGTCCATATCCTTTACTGTAATGGAATGGAGCACGCCAGTGAACCTGGGAGGCGAGAAGACAGGAATATATTGAACCAGTAAGAAAAATCTAGGAGGTGTAGACTTCGCTGATGGATTGTGTCTAATGTTATACAAATTCGAAGATCTACAGACGAAGACCAACAAGTTGGCAGATGCGGAAGGCAGTGAAAACAGGAATCCAAGTACACTTAGAGAAGGCAGAGGTAAAGATGTCTAACCAATGGGGTTATTTCCTTCACTTATTCGGCCGAAATCGTTTCAACTACAGGCATTGACATGAATGAGGATGTGAAAAGCAGGATCAGCAAAACAAGACAGACACTTATCCCTCTGAAATCATTGTGGAAGTCCACTCAACTCAACATCAAGAATAAGATTTGAATTTTCAGCACTAATGTGAAATCAGTCGACCAAGAGACTATTGCCTAACAAATATGCAGAAGCAAATGCAAGTGGGTTGGACACATATTGAAGAAGCTATTGAATGAATTTACGCGCCAGGTCATGGCTAGAATGGAACCCGAATGGGAAATAATGAGTTAAGCTTGTGTCTGAGTATTCTTTTTATCCCCTTATGTTCCCAGTGGTGGAATTAAGGGCTTCAATCTAGAGACATTTGAAGTTTCGGTAGCAGTGGTGTTTATTTTTACAGGATGGGGTTGCTAGTCACCTCATACCCAACCTTCTCTCTTTACAAGTCTTATAGCTGGTTTAGTGAGGTATAGGAGTGCGTCCGTCGGCCGGGGATCGAACCCCGAACCATGTGTGGCGTGGTCGGCATGCATTCTACCTTTGTGCCATCGATGCTGTGTCCGAGTGTGACAAGTTGGAAATCGTGTAAGGAAAGGACGAGAGCTTATGAGAAGTTATGGAGGCAGCTGAAGAGGGCTGAAAAAAGAGCAAGATGAAATGTAGACATTTTAATGAAGCCTCGTATTCCATTCGGAACCCAAAGGAACAATGATGATTTTTTATACTAGACAATGTGTGTGGGGGGGATAATTTCAGAGATATCTTCAAGTGATTTATTCTGCTAGATCTCAATTCATACACCAAGTCGTGACCAGTAGGGTACAGCAGGTGGTCGGGTGTGAGGAAAAATACTTGCCAAAGACATTGGCAAGTGGTCGCGCTATCTCGTGAATTGGTAGAAGTTGGAATTCATCGACTGGACATTTAATTGGTGGGTCCCAGTGACTTAACGGTCTACGAGCTAGCTCGCCTTGCAACTAGAAGGTCCTGGGTTCGAACTCCGGTGAGTGCGTACTCATGAAGAGTCCCAAACTAGTCTGCCTGTCTAGTACTCCAATGCTGGTTTTCTAATGGTTCTCTAACCGATGTGTCAGCTCATGATGAAATCCTGTAACACCAAGTGTTTGTTTTAAAATTGTGGTGAGAGCTGTCTGCTAGCCAAAATTGGTAGACAGCAGTTTACGTTAATGTTTACTTCCCAAATCTTGGTCATGAAGAAAAAACAAGAACAAAGACTGACTCAACAACCAATCACAGCAGACTTTGCGTGGGCGGATACGATTCGTAGATATATGGTTTGACCTTCAAAGAGACAGCCACAAAGAGATGACAGAATAACCTTCAGCAAGAAAACGACCAATCAGAAGATACTCTTTCTCTGATAAAATAACGAATAATAATGTATATAAAAATCTATAAATAACTATTGATTTTCTCAATAAACAATCTGTTGCCTGCCCCTTGTCTTCTATTGTTATAAAAAGAATAATTTTATGTAACAAGAAGTAGGTGAATACACGCATCAGTTGTACTAAATTTTGATTGAAGCAATTTTTATTCGATATTCATTCACTCTTTTTTAGTCGATTAACTCACCAAGTTGCTGGAAATAGATTTGCATCATCCACATAGAAACCCCATAGTAAAGCTTCACCACCAATTAGTAAGGCTAGCTGATCATCATTAGCTAGAAAGAGTAAAATGTTTGAAGCAAACAACATGGAGAAATTTAGAAATATTTTTCAAGTTATCAGTAATTAATAAAAGGTCATATTTGCAAAAAAAGAATAGCAAACATATTTCAAGGCAGTGGATAAGCTATAGAGGCCAAGTTAAAGAATGGCAATCCAGGTGTGCGGATGCACAGATGACCTTGAATGCATACTATTCGTTGGACAGTGGGACCTACCATTATTATACTGCAGTTATGAACGCTGTACATGAGTTGACAGGTAAATTTCATCCCGACCTCGTTTTTAATTACTGTTTAGATAATGGGTTAATTGCTCGGCAAGGTTAGGGTTATGATTAGGGTTAGAATTAAGGTTAGCATTGGGGTTAAGAAGTGAATACAGGAGTAAGACATGGCTGGCTAGCTGCTCATTATTACCGATGATATTCTTAATTGTGGTGGACTGACTGGATTATGCGTCAGACTGTAAGGAGCGAGGAGACAGGAATACGATGGACCACCGATGAGAAGACTCTAGAAGATCTGGATTTCTCAGATGATATATATGTCTAATGTCTCGCAGACTTGAAGACTTGCAGATAGGCAGGCGCAAACCAAAAAACTGGCAGAAGAGGTAGGCAGGCAGCCAGCGAAGATAGGATTGACTGCAGGTGGACATTTAGAAGGCGGAGGGGATGAAGATAACCAACAAACAGTAGCAACAGAAACAACGACCAGCACAAATCACCATGAAGTGAAGAGAGAGATCTAACAGAGTTTACCTCCTTCACTTATCTAGGCAGCCAGCACCGTTTCAACTACAGGCGGGACGGATGAAGATGTCACAGTCAGAAGTGGAAAGGCGAGATACGCCTTCACCAACATGAAACCAATTTGGAAATCTTCTACACTCACCATAAGGAACAAGATTCAGGTTCTTTTCAACACCAATGTCAAGTCGGTCACTGCTTCTATACGGGTCAGACAGTTTGCAGGTGTGTCACAAAAATGATTTCCAACATGTTGCAGACTTTCATCAACAGCTGCCATGTTCTCCAGCTCCATACTGAAGATCAAGTGGCCAACCAAGAGCCGATCGCTCAACAAATATGTAGGAGAAAACGGGGATACACTGATCGTGGATACATTGAGGAAACCGTCGAATGACAACGCGCGCCAGGTCCTCGAGTGGAGTCCCAATGAGAAGCAACGAGTGGGTTGTCCTAAGATGACATGGAGGAGATCGTGCGAGGAAGTAGTTTAGATATTATGGGCAATCGTGGACCCAGTTGAAGAGGATGGCAGAAAATAGAGGAAAGTGCAGGCCATTGCTCGAGTGGAATCTCAATATGAAGCAATGAGTGGGTCGTCAGTGTGATAGTGACATGGAGGAGATGGTGTGTTGGGGAGGAGGAGGATGAGGAGATGAAAGATAATGGGCAGTCGGGGATCCAGTCAGCTAAAGAGAACGGTGGAAAATAAAATAAAGTAGAGATGTGGAACCCAAGGGAAAAATAATAATATTTGTGACTGAAAAATTAAATTATCCTCTACCGATTCTCTTGTCTTATCGTCCGTTTTAATGTACTTACTTACCACTTCAGCTACTCGTACAAAGCACATTACAACAATCATAATCTGTGAATGGATTCTATACATACCAGGACAGCACATTCCATCATGATTTGGCAACATCATTGATTGCGAATATGAATAATGTGCCAGAACAAGTAACTCTTATTATATAAATAGTTAGGACTTTGGTATTGCATATAAAGAATCAATGTCATTTATGGTTTCGCACTCATTACCCATCAATGACAAAGTGTAACTTCAACCTTGAGCAAAGTGGCATCTCCTTTGATTTATGTCAGTTAGAATCAAAGTCAGCAATTTCACCAGTGTGATTCATGAATTCAGCAAAAACCAGAAATGCTTTACATTTGCTAACCAAAGTGTTCAGTAGCTACTACATTTAAAAAAAAGTGTTCCTATTGATAAAAAACTTGGAGGATCTGGACTTCACCGATGATATATGTCTGATTTCCCACAAACTGGAAGATATGCAAGTGAAAAGCAACAAGTTGGCCATAGAAGAAGCATGAAAGATAGGAAGAACTTCAGGTGAACATAGAGAAAACAGGGGTGATGAAGATTCCTGTGCAACACCACCAACAGCAACGACAACAAAAGACAACAATCAGCATAAATGGAAGGAACCTGAAAGAAACAACCTGTTTCACCTACCTAACTACCTGGGAAGCATCGTTTCAAATACAGGCGGACGGAACTCACGAGGATATCATAGCAGCGAGGATCGGGAAAGTAAGACAAGCTTTCATTTCTCTCAAGTCTATGTGGAGGTCAACAGCCCTACTCAGCATCAAAAATAGGACCCGGATTTTCAACTCCAATGTGAAGTCAGTGCTACTTACCATACGAATCAGAGACTTGGCCAGCGCGTCATAAAGAGCATCTCAAACAAACTACACACCTCATTAACAGTTGTCTTCGCTCAATACTTCACTCAAGATCAGATGCCCAGCCAGAAAAGATCAGCAACAGAGATCTCTGGCAATGAGCAAACCAACCCAGCAGGAACCGACTGTGAAACGAATAGGCAGGAAGAAATGGAGATGGATTGGCCATACTCTGAGGAAACCATCAAGTGAGTGACATCACTTGACAAGCCATCGCTCGAGTGGAACCCGACAGAATGGGGAGGCGGCGAGTTGGTCGTCAGTGCAAGGGTGACTTGGAGGAGGTCATGTGAAGAGGAGATGAAAGAGTTTGGGCAGACTTGGAGCCAGGTGAAGCAGAGAAGCGAACGCAATGGAGACGCACGGCTGAAGCCCTAAGATCCTCTAGGAGGAATTAAAGGAAATAATAATATTAATTTGTGGTTATTAACCGGAGTATAAAATCTGATAAAATCTTCATTTCAACACCAATCCAAATATCCGTTAACCTCATAAGAAAAGAAATCTAGATTAATTCAGCTATAGCACTCACTACATGCGAATGCAATTACACACAACCAACCATACAATGGGGTGATGGGTAAGATTACAGTTCTAAATTCTAATCTAATATAACAGGGTTTAGGTAGAGATTGATAACAGAAGCTTTATTTATCAAATCAAGTGAGGAGAATATGTGTAATAGGAATGATTCAACACCTGTCCACCCAGATATCTGGAAAACTGTGCTACCACTACGACGACGAATTGGGGAAAGAATAATGAAAATTGTAAAACTCAAGTTTCGAAGTCGCGTGATTATAATTGAAGTTATGACTATGAGCAATAGACAGTTGTGTTCGAAACTAATGTGGAAAAAGAGCATCTATAATGTTATTAATCAAAATTTCACTTACCATCAAATGTACTGAAATCACATTCATAATATTTCCTCCAATCGTCACCAAGTTTCTTTTCATTCAATTTCCAACAAGAGCTAGTGATAACTCTGTATCCAGCTTTTGTAGCTTCTTCTATTACTGATTTGTATTCAGCTTGATGTACGTGTACCACAGTTGCTGGTTCACCCTGTATCAGAAAACGGGATAGGAATCACTGATAATGAAAGCTCCTTTATGAACAAACAGTCTATCAATTCAACATGTTTATACAAGTTCATTTGCTCGTGTGGAGCTGACTACATTGGCTGTACCATGCATCCGCTTGTAAAACCTGCGCGAGAACACTATCCAGGCTAGCTAGCGAAGGGAGAACGCAGAGGGGTATATACTTCGATAACAGAGCATCTGGTAAATTCTGGACATTCAGCCCAGTTTGAAAAGAACTTCAAAGCCATATATAAGATCCGATCCAACCTACCAAAGGAAGTGAAATCAAGACATCTGGCTGGGAATAGCTGAGACACTGGCGATCCGAAAACTCGAGCCTACTGTGTGTGTCCAAAAGAAATACGTCCAACCGTTGTCCCTACCATGGCCATCATCAAAAGTCAGTCTCACCAATAATGATTATCCTATTACCACTTTTCTTGTCCAACCTTCCCGTTTATTTCTGTTATATTTACCTTTTAAATCTCTATCTGTATTATTAGATTTGGTTACTGTTTTTATTTTCATATGTCCGAACCTCCTACCCATTTTGTTAATACTACATCCTTAACCCGTAATTATATAAACTGACTAGTTTTCTAGTAATTATAATCCTATTTTGTCTTTTCTACCCGATCTTCCTGATTATTACACATTGTAATTTCTGTCTAATTTGACCTTTGACCTAGAATATTCCTAGAATAGTACCGATACCTATCTTCTGTTTATTACACTTGGTAATTTTCTTAATCTGATCTCTGACTGGAAATGATTCTGGGACTTTCTCACACATTTACTATTACAAATACACGAATGTACAGCCTCCTAGTTGACGGTGACTTCGTCGAGAAGAAAATTTGTTTCTTCACTGCAACCGTCATTTTAATAACAATCTGTTTACAAACAGCGATACATATTCAATTTCAAAAGTATTTGTGAGTGGTAATATGCATAAAAATGGAATATAAAACCGAATATTAGATAAAGTAAGGCACGTAATAGAGAATTTATGAATTTATAGGTTTGACAGATGGCCAGGGTAGCAATAACTGCTGGACTTGTTTCTTTTACAAACAAACCTCCGGTTGTTTTAAGCGAATTTCGATCGTCCCCGCTGTCTGGAATGTTCAGTGTCTAGAGGCCTCTGATAATTTATTCGATATCCCACAGATAATAGAGAAAGACTCTTCAATGTTAACTTTATGGCCTATTTTGATGAAGTGATTTAATGTGGATCTAATATGACCAGAAGGGCGCAGCAGATCGGGTGTGAGGATAAATACTCGCCGCCGAAGACATTGGCTAGGGGTCGCGCTATATCGTGAATTAGCAGAAGCTAGAATTCATGGGCCGTTGGATCAGGTCCCAGTGGCTTAATGGTCTGCGAGCTGGCCTTGTAACCACAAGGTCCTGGGTTCGAACCCCGATGAGTGAGTACTGATGAAGAGCCCCAAACTAGGACAAAACAGCTGTCCAGTACTCCCAGGTTTTCCAGTGGTTCCCTAACTGATGTCAGCTCATGATGAAATCCTGTAATATGGAACTGTTGACGGTTTTCAATCCACCTCCGTTTAGGTGTTCTCGAGAACGAAAGATTAGGTTCCTAAAGCGATGGCCAACATGACTGGCTCCACAGAAGTTGGTGGATTGATAAACACAACTGGAGGGTGCTGGACCAGGTACTTCATCTCTCAATTGGGGAATCACAGCTGGTCGTGTATAAAATGTGAGTTACAGCTTGCCGCCGCTAAATGCTCCTCAAAACGATCTTCTCTACTTGTTGGTTGCTAATTCACTTGATACATCACGTTTGAATTGCAGTCGTAAATATAGAACCTTCTTGTTAAGAGACACAAAAGAATTTTCTTCTATTTTCTCGGCCATTTGTTTCGTGATGGACTTTTTACGGTGACTGTTTCCCATTAACGTATCGTGTACAACCTTAAGTTCGCCTTCAATCGGATCTTCTCGACAAACAGCTCTAATCCTATAGAACCATTTCCGAGTTCAGTCAGAAAGATTTCTTTCCTTTAAATAGCTATTTAAGCTGTCATCAGAAAATTCTCATTTCATTGATAACTTCGTCTTATGTGGGAATTCAATAATGTCTCAATTCAATGAAGTACATTCAGCTATCAAATCCACATGTGAAGAAAATTCCCAAAGTATCATTACCTAATGAGATGTCTTACTAACAATAAGACCAGACGGTAGCATAAAAGGGAATTTCTGTGAGAAAAATACTTAGACCGTTCAAAGTATTGTTCCTCCCCAGTATAAAAGAAATTTTGTAAAGACCTTCCTTCTCCCCTGAACTGTGCATCATTGTTCGAACATTTACATGTCTTCTTTTGACTTATTACTATTCCTTTGGGTTCCGAGTGGGGAACATAGGGCTTCAAAAACACATCTCCACTCTCTTCTGTTTGACGCTGTCTTCTCCCCTTCAACTGACTAGGCCCATGATTACTACAAATAATCTCTCATTTCTTCCTCCTACCCAACACACAATCTCCTAGATGTCATCATCGCACTGACTACTCACACGTATTGACTTCCTATTCAGATTCCACTCGAGCAGTGGATGTCATTTGATCGACGGCCTCCTCAGTGGTGTGTATGCCCGATGAATCCATCTCCATTTTCTCCTACAAATGTGTCGAACAATCGGCTCTTTTTTGGTTGTTTTGTTCAACGCCAGACTCTCTTCTTGTTGATTCTTTCCCACTGGCCAGCCGATCGTCTGGCTGGCCATTTCATCTTGAGTATGGAGCCAGACAGCCAGCCAGTGAAGTAGGATATTTGCAAACTGATTTCAGCTTGATGAAGTCACCGCAGTCTTGCTTTTCAGATTCTGGCTGGCTGGCTGACTTTGACATCTTCACATGTGCTGTCCGACTACCTGTCTGTCCGCCTGTAGTTGAAAGCGTTCTGGCTTCCTGGCTGGCTAGATAAGTGAAGGCAGGAAGTAATGTGTGTCAAATCTCTCCCTCCTGTTGATGTTGATTGACTTGTAGTGTACATTGAACCTTTGAACTTTTGTTTAAACGCACTCACCCACTTTTGGCACTACTTCATCTTTTGAGTTGTAACTCTTCTGGACATCCTTGGTTCGCTCTCTCGTTGTGCTTTCATATAGCGCACTCTACGAGTCTACCACCAGTCAAGGCAGCAGATAATTTGTATAACCTCTTATTTTATCAAATTTCATATCACATTTGTGTAAAATATAACTCTGTTCCAGACACACTTGTCATCTCAAGTCTTTTTACCTTGATTCCGTTCGTCAGTACTTGCACGTTAGACAGAGTAAAGCTAAGGTCATAGAGCGGTGAAGAATTTTTGTAAGAGTGGTTATTTTGAGGTCTACATTAAGCCAAGTCTAACTCTTACCGACTTAATCCTTAATATTTGTCCTTATTTTCGCTTGATTCCTAATTCCCAGTATTCTCTTGCCTGTTGTGGGATAAAAGACTGCTGATAAGAATGTTAATTTATATTGGCGATTTTATATAAATGTGAATTCGAGCTTACTCCATGGGATGATTGCTTAACCTTGAAGTGTCTGCGGGAAAAGTGTTGTATTCTATTTGATTCTTGCAGAAAGTTTTTTAATATCAATCAAATTTTCGAAAATATTTTAACTGATTCTTAGTTACTTAATTTTATTGTACAGCACATATTTTGTACCTCAGAAACTTTCGGATTGTACATCTACCGCCTGATGGCACTTTTGAGGTTGTTTTTAACTTTTGATATAAGTGACTATTGTTGAACAGTACCACAGATTCTAATACAAAGAAAACCGTGTTTTGATATTGTATAAACATGTACATTTCAACTTCGTGTGACTCATGGTAGCATGGCAAGCTTTGCAGAGAGAAGCATCGGTTGGTTTCTTCCTCAAAGTCACTTTTACCGTTACAATTGGTGTTGCTGCTTCCAGGTAGTGAAGTTTCCATTACCAGCTGCTTTCAAGGAAGCTTTCAAAGCTTCTTGTGGAACTTTATGGCTGTCGCTAAGTTGATGGGCGTTAAGGATCCAACAGTGAAGGTAGTCGTCCCGGGGATGCTGCTGGGAGGTTGAGCAAAGGCAGCGTACGATCATTTGGATCGGTTAGGTGAAACAGGGACCTTGGAGGTGCCGGTTGGACGATCAATGTCGGAGTTCGACAGGCCGATGGACAGGCAGCTGGGACCGAATGGAAACGAATCTACTACGTCATGCACTCCTCACGCTGGATGAAGAGTCGTAGTCGCCTCTATTGACGTTCAAGTTCATCGAGAGTTTCCAAGACCATATTTCTGAACAACTGAAACTGGTCAACGCTGCAAAACCCATGGACAAAGTTTTGCTGAGGAAGGTGACCAGACAGCTGTTGAGCACAATGGTAGCAGTAATAGAGCCACAGAAATAAGACAAATGGGAACAGAAAGATAAAAATTTTCCGCGTGAAGTAGCAGCACTACGAATTGGTGCCAGGAAAGACTGACTCCTTGAATGTGGCGAAGCAGGACACTGTAGGGGAACTAATGGATAGGAGTATATGTCAGACCGCGTCAGACCGTGTTCCTTGAAAGTTCAAACGGTAGGTGGACATGTGTTAAGCATCACTGGTAAGTCAACCTGTAGAGTTTTCATTGGCGATCGCGAAGTTACTTTCCCGTTCATTATTGTGCCCGAGTTACGGTGAACAATACGTGGCGCTGAATTTCTGTAAGAGGTTGGTGCGAGTATTAACATGAGGGAAAGGGCAGTACGATACAAGCGAGATACCAGGGGTTAATGCATCAAAAACACTGAATATGACAGTGTTAGCTGAAGACTACAACCTTCTGTTCACTGTAGACGAGGACCCTTATGGTTATTGTGATAAGGTGAGGCACAAAATCTCCCTGAGCAGTAGCAAAACAGCAGAATTCACAACGCGAAGAGTCCCATGTCATTTAGAAAACGAAGTTGACCGACAAGTGAAGGAGATATTACAGGATAATATTTTTTATGCCAATCAACGTCTCTTTATATACTACTGATAAATCTTATCAGTAGCACACCCCACAATATCACAATTTCCCTCACACAGAGACAATCAATTTGGCTAACTGTTAACTGTCCATATATATATATATATATATATGTATATACATTGAGACACTACTGCAAAAATAGAAAAAAACTACTTACACGATATCCATTATCAAATACATCTTCCCAAATGACTGGTGAAACTGTCCATTCTGATGAATTTGTTCCAAGAACAGTTTCCATAAGTTTTCGGAAATAAAAATCTTCGAGTGAATAATAATCATCGCCAAGGGATTGTTTTTGCATAAATTCTTGAATAGTTGGATTAGATTGCCTTGGGTGTAAATAGATTGCATGATAATGTTCATTACATTCAAGCGTCAGTTTGTATAGATTCGACTTATTGTTTTTGTTTTCAAATTTGACCACGGAGGATTGATATCAGTTAGAGGAACACGGAAAACAAATACTGGAATACCCGACAGCTGTTTGAGTTATAGTTTGGGAGTCATCGGCAGTACACAGCCACTGGATTTCGAACCCAAAACTCCCGATCACTTGGCAAGCTAGTAAACTATACAGGCACTGGGACTCAACTCAGACTGGCCACAAGGTAAAGCTGTCTAGGGCTCTATCTAGCAAGAAGTTATGACCAGTGAGGTCCATCCAGTTGGGAGTGAGGACAAATACTAGCCGGTGACGTTGGCTATTCGTCGTGGTAAAACCACGAATTGGGAATTGAGCTAGGAACTGTCTCGCATTGTCATTTTCCTAACCATGCCGGAAAATGTTCAGATATGCGTTTGAAAAGTATGCGGTTTGTGCGGGCGGCCAATATAACTAGCTCCATACGAACAGGGGAATTTATAAACATACTTTGAAGTGGCCTAAAGTGACAGCATTTTATCTTTCACACATCCACAGATCATTTGTCGACTGTAGAAATTGATCCGTAATTCAGTCGCAAAGAAGGCTTTCCTCAGTGATCTGCATAAGCAGCGATTCTTCAGGATCTCAGCTGCTGTATCACCTTTAAATTCAGAGTTTATAAATAGCAGTTTATTCGGCACCAACCAGATCTTCCTTTGTGTCATTGAATACTACGTAATTTACAACCTTTATTTTTTTACTTCTAAAGCCAATTCTGAGTAATTATTTCAATTATGTCACACATACCTTAACCCTATTACTCAATAATAGACTAGTATACATTTTTGGTAAAAAATATAAATACGACTGTATGGCAGTCTGTGAAGATGATTTCGTCGATAAAGAAAATTTCCTTCGCTGACTGAATTTGTCTTTTATTTTCTTCATGACTCAATGGGTATTTTTAGTGATTTGAAATCAACATGGTACTGGCAAGTCTAGTGTTGTGCTTTATTGCTGAAATGATAAATATCCACTTCGGGGACATTTTACGCAGATAACAGAGTTCCGAATTCCCTTACGAAACCCTTCAATCATTCAAAATAATAAAAAAATAAACCTTATATAGGGTGAAATATAAACTAAAAGTCAATCTGAACGAAGAATATTCTTTTCAATAATTTCTCTTCAGGTTCCTACAATTATAAAATATAATATTTGTCGTCGTTACAATAGCGTCAAGGATACCTTTCAATTTATTGATAAGATCAAAAAATTGAACGCAACTGGCAAATACATGGCATCACTTTATGTCTCATCTCTATTCACTAATGTGCCTCTAGTGGAAACCATCGAGTATATCTGCGAACAGATTATAGAAAAGAAATTGTGCACTGATATTCCGATTAGTAATCTGAAACAAATACTTGTTAAATGTACAGCAAATGTTCAGTTCTTGTTTAATAATGAAATATACAGACAGACTGATGGAGTAGCCATGAGATCCCCACTGGGACCTATTTTCGCGAATATATTTCTAGCAAAACTAGAAAATAGTCCGTTGAAAGAGGAAATAGCAAATATGGAAGTGTATTGTCGTTGCATGGATGACACTTTTGTAGTGTTCGATGAAGGGTTAAGTAGTGATTTGATTTTGAGCAACTTCAATAATGCTCACCCAGCGGTCCATTTCACCTACGAAGGAGAATGCGACGACTCTCTACACTTCCTCGACGTCCTACTAACAAGAAGAGAGGATGTTTCCGTCAAAAGAACCATATTTAGAAAGCTAGAGACCAAAGCTCAGTATACACACTTCCTTAGCTTTGTACCGATGAAATACAAACGTAATCTGATCAGATGCTCAGCATTTAGAGCGAGGTCCATTTGTTCTGAAGACTGTGTAGAGAAAGAACTCCAGGTCATCCGAGACATTCTAAGTGAGAACGGATATCCAGAGAAGTTCATTAAAGCCAACATAGGTTACAATAATCGTAAATATGAACTGGCAACGGTGGAGAAAAAGCCTCTTGTTTTACGTCTCCAATTCAAGCGAGATACTCCTGCGGAGATTCTATCGCAACGTTTAACCAGGGCGATCAAGAAAACTTTCTACTCTGCACGTCTGTGTCTATTCTTCAGTAGCCGTCCAATGTTCACCCAGCCACTCAAAGATGTCTTACCTAATCTTAGCTCTTCTTCATGCATATACCATTTCAACTGTTCTTGTGGTCCAAGTTATATAGGGCGCACGACTAGGCAGGTTCGTCTACGGGTTCGAGAACATTTACCAGCTTGGTTCAGCAGGGGGGAAATTAAGAGCATAAAAAGCTCGATCCTGTCACACTTGGTCGATGCTGAACATCGCATCGATGCCAACACAGCTTTCAAGGTTACATACCGAATTCCGAAGTCGTTATCACGTACAGTTCGCTTACATCTCCTACACACAGCTGAAGCTGTTGCAATAAGATTGACTAAAGTGGAACTTTGTATCCAAAAAGAATACTTTCAGATGTTGTTCCTACAGTGGCCAAACTTGGATTGACGATTCTTCTTCTCACCGAGTGCTTCTTCGCCTTAACCCTCTTGGTCTTTCTGCTTTCTTTGCTTATTATTGCAAACATTATTATTACAATTATTATTATTATCATTATTATTATTTTTATTCGTCATAATTTATGCCCTTCATGCAAACATTCTCTCAATACTATCGAATTTTTTCGTTTATACTATCCGGACTTATTATTAGTGATATTATCTCTTTTCTCAATATATGCCTCCACCTGTTTCATTTCACACATTCGTTATTTCATTATGAACCTCTCATTGCAGTCTTACTATCTCCTGTTTAACACAGACCACTTTGTACTAGCCACTCACCTGACACCTTTTATAACCTTGAACTGACTTGTCCATCTTGCCTATCCCACACTCTACAAATCTATTATGATTAATCACCACCATTGTCTCCCATTTCACAATATTTTGTAATCGAATTCAGCCTAGCACGTTTGTCACACAAATACGACTATTTATTTTGACACCCTACACGTACTAATCTGTTATTCTACGTTAAAAATGTATCCGCCGCATAGCTAACTGGCCTTTATTGTAACGACAACAAATATTTTTATAATTGTAAGAACCTGAAGAGAAATTATTGAAAAGAATATTCTTCGTTCAGATTGACTTTTAATTGAAATATAAACATCAAATCTATTCTCGACTGGAACTAGAAAGACTAAATGACGCGGGTTGATGAAAGTTTTCGGGAATCCAGTCAGTCGACGTGTCTTCTTTCAATGGAAACAGATCTAAGCACCACAACAACGAATGTCAGCATGATGCTTGAAAACGAGAGGATACGGTAGTGAAGTGAATGTGAACTCTTCAAATTGCCAGCTGGAGAGAGTCAATAATCTAATCTCCTCGCCCAGGTGACAAGCATAAGCACACTGAGTGGTGAGTGGCTACCTTGATGTCACCGGAAGCCTCGGAAGCTCTCATGCAGTTGGAACCAATCTTCTCCAAGATAATGACCAATTAACAACTTATTGCTCAATAAATTATCCCTAGGGAAATGGAGGGGAATTAGACACACCCTGAAGAGACTGCTGGATGACATCGCGCGTCATGCCATATCTCAAGTGGAACTTGAATATAAACCGGTGAGTTGGGTGTGGGTTGGACAGTGACATCGTGGAGAGTGAAGCTTATGGTCAGTCTTTCAGCTAAGTAAAGAGGACTGCAGAGAAATGAATGAATGAAGTGTAGATGTTCTTGTGTTAAAGCCTTATGTTCCCCTCGGAACTCTTAAGGAACCAATAATGATGGTAATGTCCTTCCCTCAGAATATTTCAAACCCTTTTTTATATCATTACTTCCAAGTAGAAAACAATCAAGAGTGCATCACTTACCAACAGTCAAATGTTACCTCACTACCACCAAAATGAAGTAGGGTATCAGGGAATACACTGAGAATTTCATTGAAGATATTTGATAAAGCTGTAAAAGCTTCATCATCACTTGGATTGATTGGACCATATCTATCCTCTGGTTGCCCTTCCTTGTAACATTGAGTAAGGAACGTGTTAGAAAGGCTGCCCCATGACTGTGAGTGAGCTATAAAGATCAGAGAGAGAGAAGGGTGTAATTAAATAGAGGTACATAACATTGCATTGACTACATCGTAAAGATGAAAACTGTGTTAAAGTGACCTGCTGAGGTTAAAAGTTGACAATTGCCAGAAAGATAAGACAGATGCAGTTGAAAAAAGTATCACAAATGTATTGAGAGATCTTCTAAAGAGAAAAATTGATTGACAACAATACGTACAATGATTTGAAACCCCGAGGGTCCTGTTTGTCGTACATGTATGTCAGTCCAAAAACACACAAAATCCAAATCCGCCAGAGACCTATACTTTCGATGATCAACTCGCATCAGCATGAGGTCGCTCATTGGCTTCCAGAGAAGGTGTAACTCGTTTGTCAACGGCTAGCTTGGTACATCATGAAAGATTCATTTCATTTTGCTGAAAGCGCGAACCACATGAAAGTTTCACATAATTTCATAGTGTCATTTGATATATAACCTCTTTATTCACAAGAATCCCAATCAATGATACTATCGAGATTATTTTCCAGCATTCTGATCTTCTCCCACTACCAGAGTCAGAATTAAAACGCCTACTGCTAATGTGTACCATGGATGTACGATTCTAGTTTGACAACACTATTTACCGACAAATAGATGGTGTAGCTATGGGCAGTCAATTCAGCCCTGTCTTACCAGATATATATTCATGTCAAGCCTTGAAAGAACAACGTTGAAGCATGCAATCGACAAAACAACTTCTTATCGTCAATATACAGATGACATATTTGTAGTGTGCAACAATGACTGTCATGCTTCCTACCTACTCGGATTATTCAACGAGGTACATGCAAACATTGAATTTACTATGGAACATGGAAATGATGGAAAGTTCCATTTCCTTGACTTTGCCATGAAACGCCTGGAAGATGGTAGTCCACAGAGATCAATTTACCGAAAGCCGAAGTGGGATGGACAATACTTACATTTTAGTAGTTTTTGTCCAAATAGCCTTAAACGCGGACTAGTCAAGACTCTATACTACAGAGCGAGGAGAATATGCTCTATAGAGAAATTAGAGGAAGAATTTGAGTTTCTTGAAAAGATATTGAAGAGCAATGGGTACCCTCAAAGGTTCATCAACAAGTACGGAAGATCTGAAGTCTCAAATGTCAAGCAAATCACAGTGAAGAAAAAGCCCATTTACATTCAACTTGGTTATAAAGGTGAAAATATTACAGCAATGGTCAACAGAATATTGAGGACGTCACTAGGCAGAGCTTATCCTGCAGCTTGGTTGGTTCCCGTCTGTCAAACAACTTGCTCTTTGGTGCAATCAAAAGTCGAAAGGTAAATAGTATATCTGCAAAATGCGTCTTGATTATGTCATAATAAAATTTAATTTAGGGAAATACGCTCATTGATAACATAAATAAATTTCAATTTTATGAAGACAAGAAAGTTTAAGAAACACTCAAGAAACATTTTCAATCATATTTCATTCAAGGATAAAATCTGTACGTAGACGAATTGTAGCAGAGCCTCTCTTCAAAGGTAATGATTTTGCCAGTAAAATAAGATGCCCTGAAAAGAAAATATTCACCTGTGTGCAGTAGATGGATACGAAGTCTGGGGCGATAGGCATTCAAACTATTAAACTTACGGAATCCTTCGAAGTGAGGACAGGAGTAAGACAAGGCTGGCTGCCTACTATCTTCAATGATTTTCCTGATTGCAGTAGATTGGATAATGCGACAAACAGCGGGCAATCAGGAAACAGGTATAAAATGGAACAACACAAAAAACTTGGAGGATCTGGACTTCGCCTATGATAAATGTTTGATTTCCCACAAATTGGAAGACATGCAAGCGAAAAGCAAAAAGTTGTCAGAAGAAGCATCAAAGATAGGACTTCAGGTGAAAATACAGAAAACAGAGGTGATGAAGTTTCCTGGACAAGAACAACAACAGCAGTAACAACAGAAAACGATCAGCATAGATGGGAGGAACCTGAAAGAAACAACCTCTTTTACCTACCTGGAAAGCATCGTTTCAACTACAGGCCGGCGGAACTGACGAGGATATCAAAGAAAGAATCGGGAAAGCAAGACAAGCTTTCACTATTCACATCAAGTCTGTGTGGAGGTCAACAACTCTCACCATCAAAAATAAGATCCGGATTTCCGACTCCAATGTGAAGTCAGTGCTACTCACCATATGGATCAGAGACTTGCACTGCGCGTCATAAAGAGCATCTCAAACAAACTACAGGCCCTCATTAACAGTTGTCTTCGCTCAATACTCAAGATCAGATGGCCAGCCAGAAAGGGTCAGCAACAGAGATCTGGGGCAATGAGCGAACCAACACAGCAGGAACCGATTGTGAAACAAATAGGCAGGAAGAAATGGAGATGGATTGGTTGGCCATTCTCTGAGGAAACCATCGAGTGAGTGACATCACTAGACAAGCCATTGTTCGAGTGGAACCCGGCTGAATCGGAAGCGGCGAGTTGGTCGTCAGTGCGAGGGTGAGTGACTTGGAGGAGGTCATGTGAAGAGGAGATGAAAACGTGTGGGCAGACTTGGAGCGAGGTGAAGACTCTAGCAGAGAACCAAACGCATTGGAGACGCACGGCTGAAGCCAAATGTTCCTCTAGGAATTAAAGGAGACAATAATAATAATACTTGATAAGACCATTATTATTACTATTATTATTATTATTATCATTACTACTACTGTGACTAATTGCACAATTTATATTCACCATCTTATTATCCTACAGAAAAAACGCCATGATTGGTTTAGATTTGAATTTTTTATTTGTAAACCTATGTATATTAGAGTTAAGCCTGATGAGATCTAATTGAAAGTACAATATCACTGTTCGCTTAAATGTGTTGTTCTACATTCATCATTGTCAAATTATTTAAAAATATAATTGATGATCTTATAAAGAATTACTCAGGGATAAAAAAATAGCCACAACATCAAATTAAAACTTACCTGGAGTCTCAAATTCCGCCATAACACGTACACCCCGTAAACGTGCATACTCTAATAAGGATAGAACTTCATTACGTTGATATACCATCAGCTGAGGATTATAAGCACCCTGAAGAATTTATACATATATATATATATATATTAAAACATCAAAATTTTATAAAATATTACCAGTGTCGATAGTTGTGGGTAAGCTGACACTACAAACGGGAATGACTCGTCATCCGTGACATGCCAATGCAGAACATTCATTTTAACCATGGACATTGCATCCTATTTTATAAATATCGGTGATAATATCGGGACTTACAATCATTTTTTCAATCTCAGGAACACTCAAAAAGTGTCTAGCTGTATCAATCATAATTCCACGATGTGAAAACACTGGAACATCACTTATATCACCTTGATATATCACCTTCTATCAAAGTGAAGAAGAGATGAGAAGATGAGAAGCTTTGTAAGATTCTAAAATTAATTCCAACTAACCGAATCCCATTCACTTCTATACGTCAATTGTAGTATAGTTTCTAAGGCGTGTAATACACCCCATATCTCTTGTGAAGATATTTCTATTCCACCTTCGGCAATTTTTAATACATCTAAAAATGAAAGAGGAAAAAAGTAAAGAGAAAAACATAGGCGGTAAAAATTGAAATGCAAGCCTGACACTGATAGATGTCAGTAAAAAGTTTGAGCATTGTGGAATAGATGGTGTTGCGATGGGGAGTCCGTTAGGGCCCCTTTTAGCAGATATTTGTACATTGTGAATTTATCGGAGGATTTAATCGAAAATGTGCCTGCCACCTTTTTATAGAAGGTATGTAGATGATATTGTAATCATATAAGTGATAAGCGTCTTGTTCTGCCGCCTCAATTTTTAAAATCGAATGAATGAAGTTCAGAATAGCATATCACTTACATCTGTCTGTAGAAGAGGAAGATAATTGTTTATCTTGTCTAGACATATTGCTTAGTCGACGGCTTGATGAGTCAATAAAAAGATCTATTTATAGAAAACCTAACTGGACAGGACGTATCTTAATTACCTGTTCGGTACAAAAGAGCCTTAGTAAGGTGCCTCTTCAGTAGAATCCAACGAATGCAAGAATGCACTGAAGACACACTTGATGAAGAAGAAAGAAAGTTGACACAAACTGTGGCTGATAACAATTATCCAGACAAGTTCATCAGGAGATATAAAGTGGTCAGTGGAACACCAAGACCCACTCACTCTCCAACTCGTCCCTAAGAAAGACGTGTACATCAAGCTACCCTATACGGGACATCATAGCAAGCAGCTTGATAACTAGACAAAGGCTGACCGCTGCTGTTAAAAAGACTTTTTATGCAGGTAATATCATAATAATAGAGAATGTAAAGGTAATATATTTATCTAAGCCCTTCGAACATGTGAAAAATGATGTCACATCCCATTGTATTTACCAATTTGACTGTATATGTGGACACGCACATACATAGGAAGAGCTCACCGATTGCTGCAGGGGCTGGCTTCAGAGCATATTCCTAAATGGCTCTAGAAACAAATGGAATCTTCAGAACCCATTAATGGAGAGAACCGATGACGACCTAGGTCCTTTATTGCCAAACATATCACAGAGGAGACAGGACATAAAATTGACGTTAACACATCTTTTAAACCTATCTATAAAACGTGTTTGGGGCGTATCCTAAAGTTTGTGGAAGCCCTAGCTGGCAATTAGAAGGTTTAAATCACTTTTATGCGTTCAAAGCAACAATTCGTTATCACATTAAACCTTCTTTGGTAAATTTTGTTTTGATACCATAGCAGATGCACAATTGCCTCTGATACTTGGTTTAGTGGTCTTCATTGTTATTGTCCTTTTAACTTGACCTAAGTTGTCTATTTTCTCACCTCTTAACTCTTTATTAATTTCTTATATATATATTCCTATGACAAGTCCATGTGTGATAAGATTGTTCGAAATGTGTAACATAAATGACTAGAAACTGAAATACATTACACGATTCAGACAAATTACGTCTTCTTATTGCTTTACCTAAATTCATAAAGGGAACTAACTGTTTTGAATAAAGTATAATTATATTTCAATAGTTTACACACAGTGATAAGTTTTTGTTATTGGTAATATTTCGAGCAAAACTGCTACTACCCGTGTTCACATCACTGTTGGAATTGTTTTGTTTTTTAATTCACACATTTATGATTTGTACTCATATATATATAGTGTATTCAGAATTATATTCCAGGTCGTTGACAGTTGTGCTGCTGAGTCACCCTTGTTACGTGTATTTATCCTACGGTGTGACCTTAATGAATATAGATTCTGTTACAAGTCTCTCCATTTGTTCATATTAGTTTTTAGAATACAAGTATTGTCCCATTGAATGTCTTATTCAAAATGTTACTCGACAACAACTACCCAAAAGAATTTATCAAAGATAATATAAAAAAGAGAAAAAAGAGGGCAAAACCGGAGAATAACAAGATGGAAGAATGCAAAAAAACAGTCACAATACCATATAAAAATGGTACATCAGAGGCAATTCGAAGAAACCTCAAAACATATCGGCATTCGCACAACTTGTAAACCGACGAATCTAATCAAAAATAAAATAAATCAACTGAAAGATCCCATAAAAATGATGGATAAACACAGTAATGTGATTTACAAAATATCTTGTGCTGACTGTCCGACTAAATGTGTGGGTCAAACGTCCAGATCGTCACTCAAAATAAGAGTGAATGAACATAAACGCCCGCCTAACTATAGGTCAACCAAAAGGAACACAAGCTTACAAGAATTTAGAAAAAAAATTCATCTATGTGCAGCACATGCAGCATGGGATAAAAACCACAATATCGACTGGAACAATGTTTGCATTCTAAAAACTAATATGAACAAATGGAAAGAGAGACTACTGATAACAGAATCTACATTCAATAAGGTCACACCAGATACATACACGTAAAAAGGGTGACTCAACAAGCACAACTGTCAATAACCTGGAATATAATTCTGAATATACAGAAATGAATAAACGAAAAATGAACTATATATATATGAGTACAAATCATAAATGTGTGAACAGGGACAGTAGCAGTTTTGCTCGAAATATTACCAATAACAAAACTTATCATTGTGTGTAAACTATTGAAATATAATTATATATATATATATATAATTCTTCAACTACTCTAAAGATAAACTATCGCATTTGACCACTTCCATGTGTATCTACCAATTCACCTGCTCTTGCGGAGCGAGGTATATAGGTCGTTCGATGCGAGTTTTATCTAAAAGAGTTCAAGAACACTATCCCGCCTAGCTACGGAAAGGTAACAACGGAGCAGTAAGGAGCGCCATTATTGAGCATATACTCAACACTGGTCATTCGATTTGCAAGGAGAAGTCGTTCAAAGTCATCTATAAAGTCAAAAGAAGACTTCCAAAATCGACAAGCTTCCGTATACTTTGTATTGCTGAAGCCTTAGCGATTTGGATGGAAAAGCCTGAGTTATGCACACAGAAGAAACTTCTCCACCTACTCCTACTACCGTGGGTTTAATTCCAAGTTTGCTTGTCATCAACATTTTGTTATCAAATTTTTTGCAATTTTTCGTATAACAATTTTTAGTAACTAACCCATTCAATCTTTTCACCTATTATCTAGTTTATTTTCATAACTGTCTCCAAACTCCTTCACTAGCATCTAATCTTTCTAAACATGTCCATATTACGTAACCCTACTCACATCTTACCAATCTTCACCCCACCTAGTTACAACTTTGATTGTTAATCACACATTTTAACTTCTTCATTATTTTGATGATGTAACTCTACTCACATCTTACCAATCTTCACCCCACTTAGTTACAACTTTGAGTATTAATCACACATTTTAACTTCTTCATTATCTTGATGATATAATCAACAACCCACACTAACTGTTATTTTGATTTTGACAAACCTAATGTACACACACACACACACAAAATAATTGTATATATATTTACGACTGTACAGCTAAGTGAATGAATTCGCCGAAAAGAGACTCTTCGCTGAACTAATTTGTTCTTATTTCAATGTTTTAATGGGTATATTTCGCGAATAATTATACTGACTGATAGAATTCAGTTTGCATCAAAGAAAGGAAGGACTAGACACATCATACTAGTTACTAGTGTCCAATCAAAGTATCAAATACAGTCAATCCTACAGAAGGTCAATCGCGAGCCCAAATAGCTCAGGCGACACTGGGTAACGCGGATTCGAATCCCAGAAAGGACATGAGTACCTTCAAGGCAATTGCAGATACACCTGCTCTACTGACTACTGGTGAGTGCGAACTAACATGAAACTTAGGTTGTGCCCAAGGCTTCCTGTGGCCCAATTGCCTCCAACCATCTAATATCGGTGGTACAGGAGTAGAATGCTCGCCGACCACATCACACAGGCAGTTCGGGGCTCAATCCCCAGCCAAAGGGACGCACTCCTCCCTTACCTCACTAAGCCAGTAGTAAGACTGATAAAGAAGGAAGGTTGGGCCGAATAACGCCACTGGGAACGTCAAGGAATAAAAAAACACTCACATGATTCATCCATCATATCAGATGGCCAAGCTTTATTCTCACTTTCATCACACGACTGTTCTATAGTCACCGACAGAGAGGTTATAACACACGTCGACGTATCATTTGACAGTAATGGTGTATTTCTCAGCGATAAGTGTTCATCAAATCGTTTCAGCGCTTCTTTCAATATAAAACATGAATGGTATTCATGTATAAATTCAAGTGTTTCACCAATACTACACAATGTTGTCGTTGCATTATATTCATAAGGTTTTGGAATTAATGCATAGCTTAGCGTTATAAAGGGAATAAGCAGTGTAATAGCAGTAGGATACAAGGTGTTTCGATGCATGTTTTTTTACAAGGACTCTGTGGGGTGAGCAACTGATATCTAATTCAGTTCAGTACGTTACGATGCGTATATTTATACATAGAGGGGATAGTTTTAAGAAGAAAAAACTTGAGTACATATTTTAAAATTAGAATATTATTCGAGATATTCGTGTTTGTTTTTTCATTAATTGTTAAGTGGTTGATCTTTCATCCCTTATTATTATTATTAAACATACAGAATAATGATGATATTTTGATCAAATTCAAGAATGAAGAAATAGATAATTTGCAAACCAGAAAGATCAAAGATCGAAGTTCACGTTGTTGCTGTCTTTTTGTTTCTTATAGTTTTAAGCAATTTATTGAAAAGCTTTGTAAATTTTTGTGAATATACAAGAAAAACAAAATGAAACACACGTCATAATAGAAGCTCTCTCTGTTTCTCTCTTGAACCACATTGAATATGCTGTACTTTGAAGTGATCGTTCGATCAATCAAGTGTTTGTTTTTCGCGCATAAATATTGCTGGGTTATTTTTTCTCGCTTATTTTCAATGTTTGAGCATAGTATAGTACATTTTAAGTGGTATTATTGAATTATGTGATAAATAATTAGCTTATTATACATCTGTATATATATGTTCCTTTACGTTCCCAGTGGAACATATGACGGCTTCAAGCTAGAGGCTTGAAGCTTCTGTAACAGTGGTGGTCATTTTCTTTTTTTACAGGATGGGGTTGCTAACCAGCTTCATTTGGCCCAACCTTCCCTCTTTGCCAGTTCTATTATTAGATTAACGAGGTAAAGGAGTGCGTCCATTGGCCGCGGATCGAACTCCGGATCAGGTGCATGGTCCGTCAGAGTCCTAACCGCTGTGCCACCGGCGTTTTAACCTTATCATATGTGAGTAGTTACAGTATAACTAGTGGTAGGAACAGTATTAATATAGCGAAAATATTCATTCAGACATCTATAAAACACAAAATAATCGAGCAAAGAATATTCTTTCGATAAATTCCTCTTCCAGCTCTACAATTAAATATATATGTTTATGTTCACAGAATATTCTAGAATAGTCGTCATTAACGATATTGGCGTTTTTTAATACTATCGATTTGTTAAGTAAGATCACAATGGAATCACCACAGTTCATTAAAGATGCGTAAATTATTATAACAATAAAGATATAGTAGCAAATAGAATATCAACCAAAATTAGGGAAATTCCACAAAAATTCCGGATTACTCAAACCTCGATGGCCAAGGTAATGATAATGTTTGAACCAACCAACTTCTTTTGGATGCACAAATTAGGCTTGTTAATATGGATCCCCACAGCTTCAGCAATATTTAGTAGTCGAAATCTTATGGCAAAATTTAGATTCGTTGGTATGCGGTAAATGACTTTGAAAGCATGCTTAACGTCAATCTTGTGTTCTGTTTCTACAAGATGAGACAGAATAGCGCTCTGAATAGATTTTGTTTATCCTTTGATCAACCAGGCAGAGTGATGTTCAGAAATTCGACGATAAACATGACTAATTGTACGGCCTATGTAACTGCCTAATTTCGCCTCTTCCATGTGTATCTACCAATTTAACTGCTCCTGTGCAGTGAGCCAGTTACATAAGCCGTAAAATTAGACGTGTTTCTCGTCGAATTTCCGAACACCACCCTGCCTGGTTAAGCAAAAGACAAACACAATCTATTCGTAGCGCTATTCTATCTCATCTTGTGGAGACAGAACACAAGATTGATTGATGTTAACCAGGCTTTCAGAGTCATTTACCGCATACCAACGAATCTAAATTTTGCCATAAGATTTCGACTACTAAATATTGCTGAGGCTGTGGGGATTCATATTAACAAGCCTAATTTGTGCATCCAAAAGAAGTTGGTTGGTTCAAACATTATCATTACCTTGGCCATCGAGGTTTGAATAATCCGGAATTTTTGTGGAATTTCCCTAATTTTGGTTGATATTCTATTCGCTACTATACCTTTATAATAATAATAATAATTTAAGCATCTTCAGTGAAGTGTAATTCCATTGTGGTCTTACTTTACAAATCGATATTATTTGAAAAACACTAATATTGTTATTGACTACTAATCTAGAATGTTCTGTGTATATAAACATACAAATATAATTGTAGAGCCAGAAGAGGAATTTATCGAGAAGGACATTCTTTGCTCAATTGCTTTGTGTTTTACAGTATTAATAGTATCAGTATTCTAATAGTACTGGTGACCTTGCCTAGTTAACTGGCTTGCTAGTTTTCTAGCCAGTCCCAAACTTAGGTAAAGAGGCTAGAGAAACTTCAACGCACGGAAAATATATTAAAAATACAAAAACTTCAAATTACAACAATCGTATTCTTCGCTCGAATCGGAGAGGCGAAATGACACAGAGGGCTGGCTGGTGAAAGCCTTAGGGAAGCTAGTCAGCTAGCCAGCCGATGTGTCTTCGGTCTCTCAATGAAAACAAGAATTAGAATGGGAACGTGGAATGTTTGTAGAATGTAAGAGGGTGGCTGGGGAAGGTTGCCCAGGTAGCCAAAGAAATGCGAAGATATGGCATAGAAGTTGTGGGTATCTGCAAGAGCAGATGGAATGAATGTGGATTGACAACATTGTCAACTGGAGAGTCAGTTATCTACTCCCGGTCTGGTCACCCAGACGACAACCATGAGTGACTATAGTGATGTCACCAGTGGCAACCAGAGCTATAAAGCAGTGGGAACCAATCGTCTCCTCCAGGATCATAACAGCAATATTCAACTCAAAAGGAGGGCAAGTCATAATGCTACGCATAGTGCTACAAACAAAGCAGAATAAGTGTGTAAAACTTGGGTACCGTGGTAGTAAGTAATTCCATATTAGTTTGTTTATTAGATGGATATATCACACAGTCAGTGAAACAGTATTATTATTTACTGGATGACAAGGTTTCGAACACAATTGTCTATTGGTCATAATCATATCGTCAATTATAATCAAACGACTTTGAAACTTGAGTTTTATAGTTTTATTTGTTCTCTCCTACTTGTCGTCGTAGGGGTAGTAGAATTTTCCAGACATCAGGGTGGACAGGTGTTGAATCATTCCTATTACACGTATTCTCTTCAGTTGATTCGGTAAAAAAAGCTTCTGTTATCAAGCCCGTTCTCTCCACCCTGTTACATTAGATATTTTGTTTTACAGGGTCTACAGGATTGATCCTTTAACCGACAAAGCTTGTTTATAACTGAGTTTGTAGGTTTGAATACCAGCCACTTTTAATCCTGGCTTGTTAAGAATCCTGTGTAAGGCTTCCGAGGTTCCTTCCTTGTATGGAACTACTACTGATGATTTAGATTCCTCATTGTTGGTGTTGTCTTGTGCATGTTTGACATGCATGTCGTCATTAATATTATTATTATTACCATTATTGTTATCACTATCACTACTATCATTATTTATTTTATTTTTATTTTTACATTTCTCTATATACTTTCTGACTAATTTATCAGGGTAATTATTAAGTTTCAAAGCTTCTCTTTTATGTATCACTTCCTATCTTAGATTTTCCTTGGTACTACTTAGTTTCTGTGCCCTACTTCACTTAAACATTTCACCAATCCTATTTTTACTGATATAGGATGGGATGATTGGAAGTCCAATTATCTGTTTGAATGTGTGGGTTTCCTGGAAACACTAGTTTCTAACTTCCCATCTTCTTTCCTTTTAACGCTACAATCTAAGTGGGGCTGAACGTTTTAATTTCCATGTTTTCCCACCTATCCATGAATATATCTGCTACAACCGGGGATATTGGTGATCCCATGGAAACTGCCTCAGTTTGTTTCTCTGTATATTTTCCCTTGGAATTTATATACTGTGGAAGTCAGGCATAGCTGTACTCGCAGCATTATGTCCTCAAGTGGCACTTTTGTCCTAAGTTCGAGTTCTTGGTCAGAAATGAGTTCGTTTCTGACTTCCTCCATAGCCATATTTATTGGTATACGTGTGTATAAACTGACAATATCAAAACTAACCATTTTTTCTTCATTATCTAATTTTAAATTATCTAATCTGTGTTTGAGTTCATAAGAATTAGTTAGTCTAGATTTCGAGTGGATTTTTAGGGGATTTAATACCATGGCTATATATTTAGACAATTCATAAGTAGGTGAATTTCTAAAATCAACTATAAGCTTAATAGGATATCCTGACTTATGAACTTTAACAACACCAAACATCCTACTAGGGTTATTAGTTTTGGGCATTAAATTAAACCATTTGGACTCACTTAGAAACGGCTTCATTCGGCGTATAAGGTCCGCTGTGCATTTCTTAACTTTATTCATAATGGTGTCTATTGATTTATTAATTTCCTCATTCACCTTGTCCAAATAGTCTGATTTGTTTAATACTACTGTTGCATTTCCTTTGTCTGACTTTGTGATTACTATATCCTTGTTATTCTTAAGGTGTTTTAGGGCTTCTATCTCTGGTTTTGTTAGGTTGGGCTTTCCACGTTTTTGTTGTTTCAATGGAAGTGCACATTGTGGCCGTACTTCGTCAGCCGTTGTTTTGTCTACCCTACTTAGTACTATTTCTCTTTTAGAGATGACATCCTCAGGTTTCAGCTTGTCTACCGCTACACTGAAATTTAGTCCCTTTTCTAATACACTTATTTCTGTAGGGCTTAACATATGTGTTGAGAGATTGATAACACACTTTGTTTTTATCGATCGCCGTAGACTTTAGATTGTTCACTTCATCGTTCTAAGATGAATATTTCTCCTCTAGTAATTTACTAAACTTTTTGATTTGAGTAATTTTTGACTTTTGAAAGTTGCTGATTTGGCATTGCTAGAGGGCTGTGTTATAAGATCACAATACACACTGCTAACTATTCCCATAAGCTTTTGCTTTAATTGCTCAATTTCATATCTGATACGTTGCAACTTTTTAACAATTTGGTGGATCTCTTCTTTCAGGTATAATTTTTGCAGACTTTCTATTCTGCTTCTAACTCTCTCCGTTGGAATTGGAGCTCGTAGTCGTAGGTATTTAGGAATGACTTCATTTTTGAAGCATCGAATGCTGACAGTAC